GATTGTAGAATAAAAAGAATAAGAAGTTTCGAAACATTTCTAATCCAAGCTATGTTTGTTTCGATTAAATTAGCATTGTTCATTTGTTGTGAATTTTTATATCATGAAATGGACTAATATCATTTGGCGAAAAAATGTCCAAATCTTAATCATAAATAAAATTATATTTATATGATAAATTTGTTTCTTCTTTGTTTTCTTTAGCTAATGAAATAAATATTATTCTTAAACGTAGAATTTTTGTTTATATTTCAATTAAATTTTCTCAATCTACCTTTCGCTCCAGCGATCGTATTTAAACATGAAATAAAATAGACGTACTTCACGAAAAAGTTTGTATTTTGCACCAGTATGAACTATTAAATACGATTGACCCGTAACTTTCATGATGAAGGAAAAAGTTTATTTTTATTGAACCATGTTATAGAACTATTTTAACGACTTAATGCATTCCTTTTTTAGTAAATGAAAGGAGAATTTACGCGATCTATATAGGGTGGGCCAAAAATTTCGTTCGTTTGAAATATTTCCATTATTTGTAAAAAATAGAATAGATTTCATGGTCATTATTTTTTTTTAAGTGAGATGCTATATTTCTTCTTATTGCTATATGATAATCACTATTATACCGATTTAAGGACAATTGAGGATAATTAAGAGATAATTCAAGATCACTGAAAATCATAAAATAATAATTATTATCTTCGAATTGTGGAATTGCAATTTTATCAATGAATTTATTCTATCAGATGCTTACTTTTATATAATTCTTGTCACAAGGTTACTTTAGATTCTAATAATACATTAGATGCAACAACGTAAATATTACAGCAATTTACGATATTGCATGGAATATCGATAGTCGATATTAACTGATCACTTAGAGAAATAATATTGTGATAATCAATATGAAGACTCACTCAAAGAATTTTATCCAAAACTATAGGATAGAACTTGAAGGACTAATTTTAATGGACAATTCATTTTCTAGATCTAACGCCATTATTATATTTCTTTCTCTAGGGAGTACTCTAAAATATTGTCTATCAATAAATACCAATTACATTAGGAAATACAAGACAACGAATTACTGCAGCACATTCTGGATAAGTATAGTGATAGGATATGCTCATGACTCAACAATTAAAAATATTATAATTTAGCATCGATAAAAACGATCAACGATTTGAATATCTTCTGTAAATCATTGTATTTTACAATTACATTTAATCTCGAATATTATAATAAATAATGGAAATATTTTAAGTTTACAAAGCTTTTGCTTCACCCTGTATATCAACCTTAAACCAACTACGAGACTTCTCGTATATGTATGTATGTTGGTGAGAAAGTGTAAAATGGATCGATACCGTCGAAGGCAGCCGGTTAACCGAAGAATCGTGACGATATAACAAGATTAGACGTTTATTAGATACTTTATTAGATCGTAAACGAGCCGAGGCTCCGACGGAAAATTATTTCGTCGATCAAATTCGACGATAAAGAGGCGGAGAAAGAGAGAGATAGACAGTGGGAAAAAGGGAGAGAGAAAGAGCAAGAGAGAGAGAGAGAGAAAGCGAGAGCGAGAGCGAGAGCGAGAGAGAGAGAGAGAAGAGAGAACGGTTCGTTATATAAAATAACGAGAAGGGAAGAGATAATAGTAAAGTCCTCCTCTCAAGAATCCTCCTCTACCTTACTCCCTATCACGCCCCAAAAGTTAACCGATACCATTGTCATTGCAGTTTCTTTCGAGTACCCACCTAAGTTTTCCTGTTTTCAATACTAACGATCGAAGTTCCACTTATAGAGTACCACTCTACTTCGATGGGTTACTGGTTTTGCTTTTATCGAAAGGACTCTAGAAAAATGAGATCTAAATTAAAGTAAAAAAGTAAGAGGTGTGTAATGTATGTATATATGATAAACTTGATAAAAAGAAAAAGAAAAAAAAAAGAGAAAAGAAAAGAAAAGAAATAAAGGTGCAGGGACAAATATTGATTTTTTTAAATATCATCTTTCTATATAAAAGTTTTTATACAAAATATTATATTGACGTTCGAGAATAATATAATCGAATATAATAATATTATGATCGATTGTTAGCATGAAGAAAAACTAAAAAGTTCCCCCAATGAAATCAAGCAAGAAAATCAAGTAAATAATTTTTCTAAGGGGTTGAAAGACGATCCTACAGTAGAAACTCGTAAAGAATGTAATTTCTGTAACGGTCGTAGGTCAGATCCTATCCAGGGACATTCACCGTTTCCTTTCACCATGTCACATGAATCATCCACTTTCACGTGTACTTCCATTCTCGCTATGAGAAAGTACGACGATGATACCCTTCGATAAAAGATGTAAGTGTGAAGTAGATATGGAGTTACAAAAAGGAATCGTTGTCATCGTATCGATACACGTAGGATATCGTATACATCTACGTTTACGCTTACGGACGATATAAGAGGATACCGTCGATACGAATACGACGTTTCGATGGCCGATCAACAGTTTAGCTGATGTCAAACGGCTCATATCCTATTGAAAGGGTCTTTTACGTGATCACGACACGTATTTCAGATATACCTTTATTACATCGTTATTTATAACGAGATATATATCTTATATAATTGAACCGAAGCAATTCCAATAATGATAACTTCATTATTAAATTCGCAATGAAATTAAAAGACGATCAAGTTTTCTTGAAAAAGTTCTCTTTTTTTTTCTTCTTCTTCTTCTTTTTTCTTTTTCTTTTCTTTTTTTTTCATAAAGTTAACAAACGTCGCTATCAAAGAGAACATAAGGCTGTTATTTATGTATATATAGAAATATATTTACCTATGGTATATTTATATGCGTAAGTTCACGTTCGTTAGCTTGGTTTCTACACGAGGTATCATCGATATATTGATATTCTTTATCACGAGGTGAGAATATGATAATCTAATGGTGCAAGAGCTCGTCAGCAAAGTTGCTGTCTTACTTTACGTAGAAAACACCTCGTTATCTTTCCTACCTTTCACAACTGTTTATATACGTTTACGTAAAAGTAACATCGTTATAATGAGCAGGCTAGGTTCACCCTTCTAGTTCGTTCAATCTCTCGCTCAACCTTCTCTTCTTTGAATTCTTTCTGTTTTCATGTCTCATCACGAAACGAAACATTAGTATTATTATTTTCAATGTATACTTATCTATTCCTTTGTTATTGAAATGTTCATATATCTGGAATAATATATTTCCAAAGTTTCTTATCCTTCTTCTCTCATATATCTTGTAATTCCTCTTTACTTTATCGTTAACAACAATTTTCAAATTAATAAGTTTTATAATAAATTAAGATTTTAATATTGTTCGAATCATTTTTATCTTCCCAAAATCATATTTGAAAGTTCAATAAGGAAAGATTTCAAAGTTTTTCATGCAGCGTGAACCCGACGATGAAAAAACACGTCAAAAGTTCGCTGACACAGTATTTCTATCTTGGAATATTGAAGAAAATTCCGGTAAAATTCGTATCGAGAGGTTGGTCATCCAACTACATACATACATTACATAAAAGTCGTTCGAGACATATCGCAATAAAGTGTTCCGAGCACGTAGGAGCTCTACATACAAGCTTCCCAGAAGAAAATATCGTCCGTTCTCTGTGCACGCCCACGGCGATCCTTTAAACGTCTTCCGCGCGTGCTCTGAGATATCTCTGCGTAGAAGAGAACACCACGAAATCCGCTAAATTCCAGGAGTTGAGAGTTAAGTTAAACGGAGGCAGAGGGGAGAATGATGGCAAAGAGCTGTTAGAGAGGACGACTATTATTATCGGCGTATAGAACGAACCGATAAACTTTCCTCGGCAATATATTTCATCGACCACTCGAATCGCATGATTTGTTAGTTCGCCAACGATAGTTTCTCCAACTTTCCTACGCGGATACGAAGAGCAGATTCCGTACGGACCGTTCGCTTTATCTGCTAATTACGCGAATGAATAAATCATTGGGTTTTAGCACGAAGAAAATGTCGGTAAATATCCAATGTAGACATTTAGACATACATAAATGATAAAATCTAGTAAACAAACAGAGCTAAGATCAAAAGGAAGATGTCAAATTTTCAAACAGTAAGTTTGAAAAATGATCTTTCACATAATATTAATTCTCTCCCGCTCTCTCTCTCTCTCTCTCTCTCTCTAATTTAATATCTATTTTTCACGTTTAAACAAAAGTTATATATCGATAAACGTATAATATAATTTATTTTCAATAAATATTAATATATCGATAGGAATATATTTATCAATGTATCAATTAAAATTATGTTGCAAGGAAATGAAATAAAAGATAAAGAAAATAATAATCAACTAAACGAATAGTTAAATCGCATTACAGGGAATTAATCCAGACATGTTTGGACAACGAAGAGTACCCCTTTAATCTTGAAAAGTCCAACCACCTCCATTCCCCAACTAAATTCTAATCCCTTCGAACAAAAATACGTAGAAAAAGTGGGGGAAGATAGGAAGGAAGTATGAAGGGAAGCAAAGCGCGCGAGCTCATTTGTGCTCTTTAGCCCGACGGTAAGCGAGGGTGCTTAATCGCGTTAAAAGGTTATGAATGGCAGTGGAAAATGTACGGGCGTACCGCGAGTCGACCGCGCCGCAGTTCTTCGTGAACACAACACACTGCTCCTACTACTGAGTTTTACCTCACGCTAGACATCGCCAATTAGGGCATTTAAACTTTTTTTCAAGAGAACTACCATCGTTTTCTTCGCCTGCGTTTGGCCTTTTTTATTCACTGTTCTGCGATATTCTTTTTATCTTTTTTTATCTTTCTTTATCCTTATCTTTATCTCTCTCTCTCTCTCTCTCTCCCTCTCCGGGAGACTCTCTGACTCTTTGTTTCTGATCAAAGAATCTTTTCGCAATACTAATTAACTACGAAACGAAGATATAACAACATAACAAGACGAAATTGTACAACATGTTTGTAAGTACCTACCTTATCTATCTACCTACTTCGTTAATTCGATTCACGCTTTCTCGAACGTAAACGTCGCCGAAAGGTCGACACGGTATTATTAACTGAGAATGTGGGATGGGAGAGTTCGTACACATTCGCGCATGCGTTTCACTGTTTGACGGCTATCCAAATTTAACATAAACGACGTACGTATTAAACTGAGACTGACGTATGTACAGCGTTATGAATAGCTCGACTCTTGTAACATTCAACGTTAATGGAATTCAAGAATAATGTGGCATCTTTTCTAATTATATTAATTAAATTTGCGCATGTTATTGATGAAGTAAAGAAAGAAAGAAAGAAAAAAAAAACAAAACACAAAAAAAAAGAAGAACTATAATATTTATTACGACTACAGGAAATGTTTGAAAAAAGATAGTTCGTAAAATGGTGAAAGTAAATTCGAGGGAAGGAAGGAAAATGAGAGTGTTCCTAGTGCATCCGATAGAACAAAGTATCGATGTCCTCTCCCTTCGTGGACGGTAATTTGATACGGAGTTCAATATGAAGTAGAGACGCGTCTCCAACAACTTGTCACTTAGCTTCTCCGCACTACCTTAGTTTATGTTCTACTACAAGCAAACGAGCTTGTTACCAGTCGACCTCCAATAATTGGGGGATGAAAGAAAAACTTTGGCATAGATATCTTTCGATTTTATCTCTGTGTGTATATATATATATATATGTGTGACTGTGTGTGTCTGTGTATCTTCATGTATCTATTTCTAGCTAACCAACGTACTCACAACTTAACTAGATCATCAAAACTATTATATATAGTATATTGTTGAATTATGTGATAGAAACTTAGCGTAAGCTTAAATTAATAAAAGTAAAATAAAATAACATTTAAAATAAATACGTACATATATATACATATATATATATATACATATCGTTATAAACCATAAGTTAAAATGCAAACCTTCTATAAAGAATATTTATCTTTGAAATGCGTAAACACGATGAATAGTTTCGATCTAACTAAGCCTTTTGAAAGTAACTTTCAAACGGCAGATAGTAAAACAAAGTTTTGATATGACATATCGTGTAATTTCCTGAACTCGATATCGTGGAACGTATGCAATCTAAACACGAGCGGATGTAAATCGTAGTGCACTTTAAAGGCTCATAACGAAATTAAGCGACTTATCGTAGAGACCTTTCTCCCGTGTTATGGAAAATAGCATAGATATCGATGTTGCGTGTATATCGCAAGGTTATAATACTACGAAAGGGAACGATCCTACATATATATTTAGTTAATTACATGCGTCCCGAGCAATCCTCAATTACGTCAACGCATTAGATTGACGTGGACGAACGTAGAAGGCGAATGTGATTTGGCGAAAGGAGCTATAGAATTAATAATAACGAATGTATTAATGTTGATAGCGATACGAACCTTTGAAAAAATCAAAATGAGATATTTTTCAGAATTTGTTAGAATTAACCCATGCAATGCTTTTCTTTCTTTACTTTTCTTTTTTTTTTCTAATTTTATTTTTCCTTCTTTTTTTTTTCTTTTGAAAAGAAAGAAACTTATTTATCCCTCCAAATTCATTATATTGTTAATTAAATTCTTATTTGAAAATGAAAAATTTTAAACACAACGCGGATGATCAATATATACCGTCTCTGCTATATAATGATTATACATATGTACGTATTTACCACTACACGAACGGGTATTGTATCAGGCGGGAGTTTTGAATTTTAAACATGGAACAAATAGAGCGTAGGAATTAATATATTCCGTAACATAGGACAAACTCTACCGCAAGGCTCGTACACGATAGCCAACGAAAGGCTTTGATTAGAGCGACTCGCTTTAACTTCTATCCAACTAATTACACGATCCATAACTTTGCATTTATTACGCGTTAATTGACAGACTAATGCGTTCTTCACGCTGTTGGCAATACCTTCTCTCTCTTCGCATTATCACATTGGCGAAGCATACAAACTTTTTGATGAAATAAAATCGATGATCTTCTGATAATAAAACGTGAATCTTTGTTATCTTATTGTTTAAGTGATGAGAAATCAATTTTTTCGTTTCTGTTTTCTTTTTCTTTTCTTTTAATCTTTCTTTTATACGAAAAAAAAATTATATTTTATCTATGCTTTTAATTTTTTCTTTCCTTTTTTTCCTTTTTTTTTTTCTATCTTTTCAGAATAACTTTGTTCCTTTTTATATAACAGATTTAATTTTACTTAGATATTCTTTTTTATTCGTTCTTTGTTCTTCTTCATTTTTTTTTTTTCTTGTTTTTCTTTTTTATTATAAATATTATCCTCGCTATATTCCTAAAAATAAAATAATAAAATAACAACTTATTATAACAACTTTCGAGCATCTCATGCATACGTTTGTATTTTTTAACGTGAAAATTGTTGAATATTATCTCCTTAGAATTTTCAATTCGACGGGTGAACCGTGAAGATAATGGAAGCGTGCGAAGCACAAAGATGAAATATAAAATATTTGATTCCAATAAAAAGAGCTTTTACGTAGAAGACGCGTAGACGTTTATTCCTACGCGACAAGCACATAAGATTTATTTCGTGAGAATGACACATTTCAATTTATCCGTCCGTCTAACGTTATCGAACTTTTTTACATTGGAACACAATGTCTCACCTAACAATGACATTTCTATCTCGTAAATGATTTTACACGAGAAATAATATCGTTGTTGTATCAATTTTCATGCCTAACATACAATTGAATTGATGGTATCATGGTAAATGCCTAGAATCGTTTCTTCAAAACGATCGAACGAAAGAAAACATCATTCGCCGTATTGCAATTTATTTTCAATAGTTGTGTTTACAACGATTTTATTTTCAACTAACTCAACAACAAAGTGGTTTCTATTTCAACGCGAACGTTACGTTAAACGATTCTTGTATTTTTATCGTTGATTGAAAGAAAGAAAGAAAAAAAGAAAAAAAAAGAATAAAAAAAAAAAAAAAAATAAAAAAATACGTGAACTTTCCGATACTAACTCTTGCTAATTTTCCGACGATCTCGTAAAAATCAATATTGAACAGGCAAAAATATTCTCTCAATCGATAATTGCTATTACTACAAAACCGTAATAAGATAACGATTTAAAACGAAGAGAATTTCTCTTTCATCGAGGTCGAAACAATTTATTAACCTGAAAATAAATGACATTGGTAGAAATGAAAAAAGTAAAGATTACCGTTGCGAGTTATGGTAATAACCATTTGTACAGCAAGATATAAGTAGGCTATTTACGAGCAGAGTCATTCTTGCAGGAATATCGACGGCAACGGAATTGGAAAATGGTCACGATGACTGTATTAAAAACTGGAAAATTGAAAACGAAACAGCGTAGTGCTTGGATATAGTTCGATCGAACGACAGAGAAAGGGGTAAATGTAAAGAGAGAAAGACAGAGAGAGAGAGAGAGAGAGAGAGAGAAACAGACAAATAAAAAGAGAAAGAATGAACATAGAAACTAAAACAGAGAGAAAATCAAGAGAAAAGCGATTTTTCCTAATTCCAATTAATTGCATTAAAAAGAAAGGAACAGACTAAACGTAATCAGACCGAATCAGATATTTCTTTTTTCTTTTTTTTTTTTTTTTCTTTTAAATACTAAGAAATATTAATAAGGATTAAAACAGAAATATAAAAAAAAAAAAAAATCATAGTAATTCAATAGAATCATTTTCAAAAAGACTACGGGAATAAACCTACCAAATGGTGCAGCTGGAAAACGTTTGAGAATATGACGAAGAGGAAAAGGAATGTCAAGTTAGTCTATCTTTTATACCAGTTCACCGTCTATCCTTACTTTCTCTCTCTCTCTCTCCCTCTCCCACACTCTCTCTCTCTCTCTCTCTCTCTCCCTCTCTCCTGATCGTGCTCCATTGGTCGGTATCACTGCTTCACGCTAGAATGAATTCCGAAAATATGATAGACGAAGGAAAAGAGATGTGTACGAAACCGAAAGAAAGGGAGAGAGAGAGAGAGAAAGAAAGAGAAAGAGGGTGAGAGAGAAGAAGAGAGATTGAAATTCTTCCGTTAGTTCGCGATTCGCGGTACGTCTACCGTTTCTTCGTTCGTCTCACCCACAGATTTCTTTTTTTGCTTCGTGGTAAAAATTGATCGACTATGAAAACTTACCGGACCGAAATAGAAATTCGATCGAGTATTACTTTTAGTTATATCGGTATCGATATGATGTGCGTGCACAATTCTTACATATCATATATACCTTTCGTTTAAATTTCGTAAAAATATTATTTTCTACAATATATCGGTTATGAAGTCATAAGTTAAGAGCCGATCGATAAGTGAGATATATCTTTTATAATGGAGGAAAATAAAAGGGAAAAATATCTGTACATATGTACACTTAACGTTATCGAAAAACGATTTAGATTCATTAATTGCTCCCAATTTACAATTAAATCAAACGATCTGATCCAAGACCTAAAGAAAATATCTGAATCAAAGAAAATCAAATATATTTTCGAGAGTTTGTTCTCTTTCGAAAAGTAAAAAAAAAAAAAAAAAATAAAGAAAAGAAAGAAAAAAAAAAGAAGAAGAAGAAAAAGAAAAAGAGAAAGAAAAAAAAGAAGGAGAAAAAGGAAAAAGAACAACCCTCGTTACTTTTACGAGAACGTTCGTTGCATTCGTATAGAGTAGTAGATACTTACATATATATATATATATATAAAGGAAGTGGTGGTTTCGTAAAATACGTTTACACGGTGAGAGGAGTCTGATATGGGGCTAGGTAGGATCTTGTAGTTTAACGCTCGCTCACAGAGCCCAAAGTCCCGAGTTTCTTTTCTTCGAGAACTCGTTGTCGTCGCGATGCATGCGAGTCGTCTCTACGGCAGTTTTCCACGTGTCGTATAAAGGTAGAAACGTCTTTATCCGAGGAGGAAGCTTTCACGAGGATGCAACGAGAGATTCTTTTGCAGGCAAAAGAAGAAAAAGATGAGGAGAAAAGAGGAAGAGAACTTGTCGGTGGAGGTGGAAAAGATGAAAACAAAAAAAGCAACATGGATTTTGCCGTAAAAACACACCGAAGCCAACCTCTCTAACTTCCTCTCTCTCTCTCTCTCTCTATCTCTCTTGCTCTCTTTCTTTCTTTCTCTCTGTATCTATCTTGTTTTCTATGTCTTCCTTTCTTTCTTCCGTGTCTTCTTTTCTTTCTGCACGTCTTTTCACACA